CAAAATTTCATTTCCTTACCTTCTCATAGGGCTATTCAAAGAGCAAGAAAAATTCTAATGAGTCTAGAGATAAATTTGCCTCCATCTCCAACCCACCCAAAACTTTCTTGTAAAAGTAGGATATGTTTTGCACATGGGCAAAGTACAGTCTCCAAGCCATTAACAACTATTTCTTGGGAACCTTCTATGTAACTAGATTTGTTAGTCCTTACTTGCTCACAGTGCCTATACTACAGCTATAAAGTCAGTGTGCAAAAGCAATGCTAAGTCTAGTCTTTGATTATCAGAAGAGACATGGCAAAATCAACAGAATGCTGATGAGCCAATCCTCTGATAATGGGAGCGAAGAGAGGGAAAATCTAGATCTGGACCCAAACCAAGTCAACTATTTGCATGGCAATTTTAAATACAGAGAAAGGTCTAGAAGATGATTTGCATTGCAGAGTTACAAAGAAATGAATTCGCATTTTGAATTGGCCACTCATAATTATTCTTTAAAACTAACAAAGAACAGGCAAGATATAGGACAGTTATAAGAAGGAGAGCAAACATGGAATCAGTCTTGCTGCAAGAGCCCAGAAATTACTGTCTAATAATGAAACAATTTGAAGAGCAAAAAATCTGTAAACATTTAGAGGGACAGTGAAATCATAGGCAATAAGGAGAAAGATTTGTGAATATCAAACCCTGCCAAGTCCAAAGCTGTCTTCTCCTCCACACTAGGGTTTCAAAATTCGTAGATGAAATAAATGCAGAAAGCCGCCTCACATTTGGGAAGGCGACTGATAATGTGTATAGGAAAGAATTACACCAATCTTTAGATCTAGAAGGGAACTCTGAGAGCATGTAGTCTAACCGTCCAATGTAATAGAGGAAGAGAGAGTCAGAGAGGCTAAGAGTTTCATTCTAGTTCAAATCAGTTTCCAGCTGCCCCCCTGCCCAGAGTCCTTCCTACTATCCTGCACTCTGCTACTGTTCACACACAGGAATAATGAACCTGAACTGGAAGTTTGGATAGTACATATCAGGAGAAAATAAAATTCAGATGTTCAGTGAGATTATAATGTAAAAAAGAAAGAGGGATATTAAGTCTTAACACCTGATGCCATCAATGGAGACTGGGCCATGACATATGTTTAATCAGTTGGTCACAGCAGAAAACCCAGAGAACTCATTCATTCTCCCATCCCATTAAGCCAGGAGGGTAGCTACCACCAGGAGTTTTCTAGGAAGATGACAAATGCTCTTCACTAAGGACATTTTTAATCCTTCGAAAATTATTTAGCTGAAATAGAACCCAAGAGGGTAAAAACCAGAGCACTCTCCAGTCCTAAGATTCTAGGAAAGATGTTTTATTGCCACTTACCAATTGTATTTTTTTAACCATGCATTATGGAAATGTCAAGTATTTACCAAAGTAGGCAGAATAGCATGATAAACTTCTGTGTACCCCTCCCTCAGCTTCAACAATATCTACTCATGGTCAATCTTGTTTAATCAATACTTCCACTTACCTCTTCCCTTCCTTATTATTTGGAAACAAATCCCAGCTGATGTCATACGATTACTTCTATAAATATTTTAATATGTATTTCTAAAAGATAGATACTAAAAAAAAAAATTATCACACTTACAAAAATTAACAGTAATTACATAATATCATGAAATGCCCAGACAATATTCAAATTTCCATGAATTCATGAAATATGATCTCTTTTGACAGTTTGTTTAAATGGGCATCCAAGTATGGTCATTTTATCTCTGCAGTTTCTTTTAATTGACTGACCCACTCCCCTTCTCTCTCTCCTTGCAACTTATTTGTTGAAGGCACCAGGTTGCTTGCTGGGAGCTTCCCATGATCTGTATTTTACTGAATGAATCTCTGTGTGTCCTCTGCATTTCGTAGTGGGTAGGTCTAGAGCTGAACTGCCACATGTGGCTATTTTAATTTAATTTAATTTAAAATTCAGTTTCTCAGTCACACTAGCCACATTTCAAGTGCTCAGTAGCCACATGTGGCTAATGGCTACTGTGTGGGACAGCACAGATAGAGAACATTTCCACCACTGCAAAAAATTCTACGAGACGTCACTACTCAACCGTCTCATGAGGTAGCCTTGGAGAGAAGAGATATTGGAATCTCATCCGTCCAGTCTTTGGCATACAGTTGATCTCCTGCAATGTAGGCAATTTAAACCTTCACACCTAGAGACTGAAAATGAAATAAAAATTCAAGGGATCTGTGTGTTTTAAAATTTATGTAAATGGTATGCTTACAAATACTTTTGTCATTTGCTTTTTTTATACGTTGTTTTTAGCTTTAACCATGTTGATATATTTATGTGTACTTATTCCTTTTAACAGATGTGTAATATTCCATTCTTTGAATGTGTCACAGTTGATTCACTATCCTTTTAATTAACATTTAGATTGTTTTCAATCTCCGGTAACATACACTGAGCTTCAAGGAATGTTGTTGTACATCCTTGGCGATCTGTTACAAATGAGTAAAGGAGGCAACCTGGCCATGGAATCATTGGGGCACTGAGCACACCCATCTTCAACTCTAATAGCTATTTCCTAATCACTCTCCAAAATGATTATACCAATTCACACTCACACCAACAGTGTGCAAGTGTTCACTTCCTCACAGCATTACCAACACTGGGTCGCTTCAGACTTTTAATTTTTACCAACGTGGCTTCACATACTTGCAGTGAAAACATAAATACAAGCATGGAGATGAGAGGGGCGCACTAACTTGGCTGAATCTATGTTTTCTTTCTTTGAAAAAATAAAGTACATGTGGCAAAAAGTTAACATTGATTAAATGTGAATGGTGGGTGGGAAGAAGTTGGTTATGATATTTTTAGTACTGTTTGGTAAGACTACACTACTCAGAATTAATTTCTATTTCATAATCATTTTCCAATGCAAGGGCTTCATAAAAAATATGCAGCATATAACAAATTACTCAATATGGGATTATGTACTAGGTTCCTTTTTTGTGTTTGTTTTTTGGCATTTCTCGCTAAAAAGAAAACACTAAGAGGGACAATCCATTGGTTGTATTTGCCCCAAATGACCTCCAGCTCTTGGATTTTTCAAGTCAAGCTTTACTCAGTCAAATATTGGTAACTAATTGCCCAAAATTATTTCCTTTGTAACTGCATGCTGACTTACATATCACATAGCATTTTCTTCCTCTATGGATGATATGAACTAAAGAGAGGGTAAGCTCAAATGGAACTTGTGTTTGGAATGATGCCAAAAGCTCTGTGGAGCATTTCTGACTAGTTTTCATTTCCTTATGAACTGTGTGGACAAGGTAAATTGCTTGGCTCTGACATGGAGGCCTGCTAACTCTTAGTGTCACTGTATTTGCAATGGTTGCTTTAAAAATCCAGACTAGAACTCTTTTCCAGAAGAGTGTGACAAGAAGGCAGCAATCATTAGTGTGATTCGTCAGTCCAGAAACAACTTTTAAATCCCTTCCATATATAAGGCACCGCGCTATGCCCTGTGAAAGAACATAGAGATGGATGAAAGTTGATCCCTGCATCGAGAACTTAACAAACAGGCCAGCTTTTCCTTTTACAACCCAAACTACAAAAATTTTTGTAGCTCATTCTGGCTTTATTCTATTTTGATCTTTAAAACTTATTTTAAATATTGTTCAACAGTTATTTATTACTCAGTAAGTCTTATATGACCTTTGGCCAAAAGCAGTAACATTTTGACCTGTCCTGTGGAACTCAGAGATTCCCACTCCATGAAGGCAGTGAAGTAAACAACTTCAAATGAAACCCTCCTGGAAATCTGTGGTGGGCACAGCATGAGAGAGAAGTGCGGATGAGCGGGGGAAGAACAAAGTGGGCATGCCCAAAAATAAGTGAGAGTGGTATCCGTGTTTTGAGCATTTCTTCCTCATTTCCCTTAAGATATTTATTCTGCTTCTCCACTGGTAGTTGAAAAAATATGGGGATGATACAACAAACCAAGATGCTAAAATGAAACAGATTTCCTTTTAGGCCTGCAACGTAGAGTCAGCATTATCTATGTGGGCTTCTTCAGGGTTGAGCATTTAGGGTAAATCACAGCAGCAAAGAACTAAGTAAGGACACGCTTCTTAAGTTTGTAAACGGCCAGAGGGAGGGGTCAGTGTGAAGATGGGGCAGCAGAGTATGTGCGAGTGCCAGGTGCGTGTCATGGATGTACATGTGCGCCTGCTGGTGAACAACATAAGGAGAAAGAACCATCTATAGGAGAAAAAGCCTGCTATGTCTTGAAGCCATTCACACTTTACGGTGTCTTAACTTCACAATGAAGCAGTTCTGAACGCCATTTAGTGGTGGCAGTACAGGGCTTCCTGAGACTAGAAGTTTGGCTCATAAAATAGAGGCGCATCTGGCCACCAGGACATGAAAAGAGCTCTTTGCAAACAATAGCCCGGTAGCGGAAGTGTAAGTGATTCAGAAACACCTGGCTGATATTTCCCTTGAGGCTCCGGGAGGATGAACTGGTTAAGAAGGACCTAGTCAATTGGACATCATCCGGCAACTTGACAAGTCAGAACATTGAGGGAAAAAAATTAGAGAGATGATGTCATTCCAAATAGAGTGTTCCAGAAAAGAATACTCCCTTCTGTCGGTGGAGGAGGGTCAGGAATAAAACAGATTCACTTAGGTATTCCAGTTCAGGTCAAGACATCTCTTTTTCCAGGGTGGAAAGTACACAGGAATGATCCAGATTGCTTGATATTGAGGACTGTTTGTCATTTTATTCATTCAGCATCTTCTACAAAAAGAAAAAGTAAAACCTAATGCTAAATTGAATTAGGTCAAATGTCAAAGGGATGAATAAAGAATAAAGGCTATAATAGAGTCATATCCATAGCATTAACTCTCCGGAGCCAAATATAATGCCAGTTGTCACCGAAAAGTCTAGGTTTAAGGCAGTTTGCATCCTGTGATCAATTTCTTCTCTTTGCCCTCCTGCAGCCAGCTGCGCCCTGAAGAAGCGATTCAAGCGGCGTGAGATCGAAGCCATCCAGTGCGAGGTGCGGAAGATGTGCAACTACACCAAGATTCTGTCCACCAAGAAGAACCTGGACCACGTGAACAAGATCCTGAAGGCCAAGCGGCTGCAGAGACAATCAAAGACAGGCAACAACTTCGTCAAGAAGAGGAGAGGGCGTCCCCGAAAGCAGCCTTCCCAGTTCGATGAGGACTCCAGAGACCAAATGCCGGTGCTGGAAAAATGCATCGACCTTCCCAGCAAAAGGGGTCAGAAGCCGAGCCTGAGCCCGCTTGTCTTGGAGCCCGCCGCCAGCCAAGACACCATCATGGCCACCATCGAAGCGGTCATCCACATGGCCCGGGAGGCGCCGCCCCTGCCTCCGCCACCGCCCCCTCCGCTCCCGCCCCCGCCGCCGCCGCCGCCACCCCCGCCCCCTCCTCTGCCCAAGACCCCACGAGGAGGCGGAAAGAGGAAACACAAACCTCAGCCTCCTGCTCAGCCCCCGCAGCAGCCTCCCCCGCAGCAGCCCCTTCCCCAGGAAGAGGAGGTGAAGGCCAAAAGGCAGAGGAAGTCCCGAGGGAGTGAGAGCGATGTCCTTCCCTAGGGTGGGTCCGGGCGTCTGAACCTGGGGCTGGGGGAACTGACACATTGGAAGTGCAGTGAGCCGGGGTAGGGGCAGAATCCCCCGCTGCAGGGACACTGATGCCCTTCTCTCCAGAAGCTGGGCAGGCAGAATCGGGCCAGATGATGGGGTTGAGCCATCAGTAGCTCTCGGGAAAGCAAAGCAGGGTGACGCCTTCAAAAGAAGTTTGTCTGTGCTTCCCAGCAGTTCCCAACCAAGCGGCACTTCAGTATGGCTAGATCCTTTAAGGGCAAGCAGAAGACCCATCAAGGAGGAGAAAAGCCGGGGGTGCTCTCTGACAGCCACCTGATCTCCCGCATCCAAGGTGTGCCCTTGATTCCACTGCGTTTGCTGGCCAGGAAAAATGGAAAGGGAAACACCCTCAATTAGGAAACATTCCAAGGGGAGAAAAGCTGCAAATTTCTCAACGGGCTTTGTTGTAATCCGCTTCCATTTCATTGGTTTATATTTCTTTTGGTTTTTCAAGCTCGGCTAGGCTTTGGGGCACCAACATCATCTTCAGGTGACCTGAATCTTTCCGTTAACGATACAGTTTCTCAGATGGACTCATGTCATCAGAAGGTGGAATTTTAGTGATAGGCAACCTTAGACATCCAACTTATTCGTATGCCTCCTCCATCACACATACGCTGATACTTAGCATCCTCTGTTCCTACTTTTCTTTTGTCCATTGTACTTCCATGTACCTTTTCATTAACTTACTTGCTGCCTTCTTTTCCTTGGTACACACCTAAATAATGTAAACCTTATCTGTGTTGTAACGTTCACCTTGGCATGCTGTCCCAAGGAACTTGGCTTTGAATCCCAATCATTGTGAAACAGATACTCAGTATTGATAGAGCCTTTTTAATAAGTGATTTAGAGCAGCCGAGGATATGTTGACCCAGGTGTCAACCAGGTTATTTTTATACTTACAACGTATCAGCAGAGAATAGACAGAATAAAATGATTTTAATAACCCACAGCAAATGGAATAACTGACAAATCACCAAAAACTGAAACCCAGACCCACCAGAAAGACAAGTGTCTAGCAATGCCTTGGTATGTGATTTTTTTTTCATACAAATAACTGTCATAGGTCGTTGAAAAAAAGAAAAAAAAACAATAGAAGTCCATTATCTCTTGATAATTATTTCTTAAAAGCAAATGGGAGTAAGTGTTCTTATCTGAAAAAAAAAATGAAAATGTTTAAAGGGTATCACCACTCCAATTGTATCAAGCCACCTTGGACAAAGTATCCAAACTGTGGTTGCCTTAATAAACTAAAACATTTTTGTACATAATGTAATTATAAATCTATCAGTCTGCATGGATGCAAACTGTGTGTGACAAATCGTCTTTTAAATGGTCAATTTCAACTGTACATTTCTCATCCAATTTGTACTGTAGCCATTGGTTTAGCGTGGACAGATATTCCATTCTCTATTATCCATTTCCACAGCTCGAGCAAACCATGTTAAGAAGACTCAGAATGAATACGAAGTTATTCCATTGCCGTAGATGTTTTCTGAAAGTCAGATGTGGAAATTCCAAATAAACATTTTCAATTTCCTCCCTCCCTCCTCCCCTTACCTTTCCCAAGACGTCAAACACCTGGCATGGTAGATTATAAAAAGAGAGACACTGAGAGACAGAATTAAATTTTCTAATGGGGATTAGAATATCTGGTTTACTTCCAAATTAAGTTTCTTTACAGGAAGCTGGGACCAGCTGGAAATTGTATTATATCACTTCAGAACACAGCATTGTATCCTTAGAGAGAGATGGATTTTTGGTGGGAACATAAGAGAATAGGGATGGGATGTCTATGGGAGTGAATTTTAAAATCCCAAGTTGATATGCTTGCAAACATCACTGCTCTGTCATGACACTACCAGTTGGTTGAAATTACCCACAGAGCACTGTCACCATGGACTTCACACCATTTGCTGCCAACTAGGTCAGTCACATTTAATCCTAGCAATATGTAAGTTTAAAGGAATGCATTCTCCTATACTTTAAAGCTTATATCATAGATACTCAGTTTGTGACCTAGGTTGACCTTTGGCATTTCACACAAGTTGAACAGCAAAATCAAACCAGCCACTTTCAATTTGTCATTCCCAAGCCATGTCTGAGTGGTTCCAAAGTCACCCAAGAGGAAGGTTTAAATTAGCCCTACTCACCCCCTGAGTGCGACCATTTTCATTCCGATTAAGCCATAAAAAGGGTTCTCGCCTGTTGGACTTTGAAAATCATTTCCGTCTTTCTTTTGCCCTTCTTTCTTCCAGTGTTGTCCTGTTTCCCCAACCGAGTCTGTGAGCAGACTAAATCTTCCTGCAGAGAAGAATGAGCTGGTACTCTCTAACCTTCTTAAAGAAGGACCCAAAGCTTAATTGGCATTAACCTCTAGTAGGTGAGAAATTTCAAATAACTTTAGGATAGATTAGAATTTCCAAACAGGAGAGATACAGCAGAGTTGTGACTTATACATAATTTCAGTTCTACAGTTGTCGTATGAGTTAAATGCAAAACCTCTACATGTGTGACCCTGAGAATAGATTGGAAAACTGCAGAGGACCAAAACTGAGACATGCTAAACAGCTGTTTGAAGATGAAAGGCAGTCCAGTCATCTGCACAGCTTCCTCTCTCCCCTACCCAGCTCTTCTCTCAGTACCATATTACTTTTTTTTGGTTTTGCTTTCCATTAACCTAACTCATCTCATTGGTACGACTGTTTTCTTATTTTCTAAGTGCCCCATTTCTCTTAGCCTCTCCTCTTCCATCCAGGCTCAACATTGGGCCAGTCTAGCTTCACATCTGGTTGGTTGCAGAACGAGAATGAGAATTTAGCTCTCCTGACCTGGATTGTGGAGGTCTTTAGCCAGCTAACACTGCCTTCTGTGGCTGCATTTTTATGTAGAGAGGAAGTCATCTGGGATGGCCAAGACTCCATAAACAGCTCCACGAAATATTTCATAATGAGAGAAACGTTTTTTCTTTCTTTCTTTCTTTTCTGGAATACTTGCCTTCAACAAGCAGGCATGAACCCCTTTGTAATATAGGGAGTCGGATTAGGGGTGAACAAAGGATGAAATCGAGATATAAAAGCCTGTTCAAGGGTGAGGATAGATCTCTGATCCACCTTCCCAAGTGGCTGCAGGGCCACTTGCTTTTCAACCCTTTATCTCAAATAAGAGGAACAGAAGTTTGACTTCCTCTAATGGCCTGACTCTGGCTACAACCCAAGGAAGACAGGTCAGTGGAAAGGAGAGCCTGTCAGGGGCTGGTTTGTGACTTGGCAGGACCAGGACTCAACAGCCACTGACAGCCCAGAGTAGGTGACTAAGGGCTGACAGAGGATTAGCATGTTAACTTGGCTGCTCTCCGGAGCGGGAGGCCATGTTCCATGTTCGATGGCAGTGAGAATTTGTGTTCAGCGTGTTGCTGGGTCTATAAATATGATAAGCAAGTGGTGACAGAATTATAGTATAAGGTGATGTACTACATGCAGATCATAAAGGATTTGGTTTTAGGACTTAAGTAGAAAATCCCCCTCCTACAGCTTATTACCCAACAATATTCAGATAATGAGCTTTTGGAGAATATTTTTTCCCTACCACTAGGAAGATTTACCTGGGAACTGTCTAAAGTCTATACATATATTTCCAAAGCCTTTAAATGCCAACTGTAGCATGGAGAGAGGGGGTGGCAGAAGCCGAAATGCCTCAAAAGCCATTTAAGTGTTACATTACAGAATTTTCAGTCCTTCTCATTATGTAAAAGTAGATAAATATAGACATTATTCTCAACACTACCCTATAGTATCACAATGGTCCAAATGCCAGAGCTTACACATAATGTCATCACAGTGCCTAGAAACGCAAACTGTAATATACCGTAGCATTTTCTTGGTGTTTTTTAAAGTTTCTTTCCACAATACAAGGCTCCCCCTGCCTCTTGTTTCTTGGAGAGTTCACCCCACCAATGAGTCTTCCTTCCTTGTTGGACTCAGTCACTTGGGGAACAGTCTTTGAAGCACATATCAACCAAGGAAGAAACTTCCTGGATATCTATTGCCCATTTGCCCAGGTATAATAAACACTAAAGGGGGGGAAAATTGAAAAAAGCTGCCGCTGATCAACACAGAAGGGCAGTTCCAACCTCGGTTGGTGTCTTTCTTTTTCTTCCTTTTTTAAAAAATCTATTTCTTAAATAATAATAAATGCACATGATGTGTTAAATATGTATATATATATTTCAAAAGAAAAAAATGGGGCACAAGATTGTCTTACAAGTCGTGCTGGCTAATTTTTAGTTTGTATTCATAAGTGGTTTTTAAAAGCCTTTTTTAAAGTGTAATTTGCATGTTCTACTTTGATTGTATGTAAACATATTTTAGAACAAAAATGTATTTGTATTTTATTGAATATAGAAGCAAGAAAAATTGTACATTGTTTGAAATGTTCTTTTTGTAACAGTTTTTATTCATAAAGCATTTTTGTACATTTAAAATGAACATGGACTTGCTGTTATTTGAGGCGTAGATACATCTGGCATGCTTTACTGTCATGCTCCTCCATGGTCTTAGATGTTGGGTTTTAAACATTTTTTCTAAAAGAAAGCTCAGTCTTTTTCGCTACCAGATCAGGTTAGCACAGTATAGAGCACTTAACTATTAAAAAAAAAAGTTAATCCTATTCATATGTTATTCATTGTGTGAAATTAAAGACATTCAATTCAGTCTATCATGAGTTGTGAATTCTTTTGTTTTATTTTCCATCTGGTTCACATCACTAAGGAGTTTTAATAGCATTTGGAGGTCTCTGCTCACACCAACTGGATATAGAATCATTGAGAAAATTCTAACCAAACTTTGCCCTTTTGTATGAATCTGGGAAGTACATTGTGGGCAAGATTTGAGTCTGATTTACTGGGTTACTCTTCAGAATATATTACACCTGGACATAAAGCCAGCACTGATTCAAAGAACAGTTAGACCTCTGCTGAAAGCAATCGAAGTGTATTGTAAGATGTTGAAGACCTATCCTGTCCTAAATTTTTAGAAGAACATTGTGGATGGGATTAAGCTTTCTTACTAAATACCCCATGATGTCAGATATCTGAAGGATGGATCTCTGGCTGGAGTTACAGTTTGAAGTGATAGGAAAGGTTATTTTAATCAACCACAGACAGTTACTGATCACCTCCCCAGAGCCTACCAGTCTGAGCAAGACGCTAAGGTCAATGGCCGGGAATCTGCAGTCCTTGCTCTGAAGGAACTTCCAGGCCTGCATTTGAAAAATGAACTGGCAGTTCTAAGTAGAATGTGACAAGTGGTAAAAGACTGATGGAGGGCTCAGAAGAAGGGTGGAGCTCCCAGGCTGACACTGTCTTCTCTTCCCACTCTTTCTGTCCTAATTTTTAGTTTATATTCCTAAGTAGGTCTTCAAAGTATAATTTGCACTTTTTACTTTGAGAATATGTAAAAATACATACTTTTATGTATTCTTTGCTTCCCTTCTTTATCTTCTCTTCTGATGGGCCTCTTCCAAAAGCCAAGGAGGTATATAGGAAATGTTAGGAGCAGCTCCACATGCCTAGCCATCAATCTGACCCTCCGTGACATTTATTATGACTTTTGGTATTTGCACTACTCACAGTGGAATAACGAGAGTCTGGTGGGATGAATGGAAGTCTTCAGGAGAAGATTATTCGGGCAGCTTCAGGATGGTTGGAACACTTGTGCTTTAGGTAGCCTCCTGAGATTCAGAGAGTTCAGTCAGCAGCCTCTAACAAAGTAGAATTTGCCTTCTTTTCCCTATTCTCTGCCAACTATCTTACACTGAACCAGGCAAATTTAAAGCACTCCATAGTCCTCTTTCTAATGCAGATTCATCAGACCATTGATATTTCTGAAATCAGTAATGACTTCCAAGAGTGCCCCTAATCTCTTCCCACCAGCTTCTCATGTAGGGGCAAAGCTGTTGCCTTGGAATGGACTGGCTCAAACTTTGGGGTTTTTAATGAGGCCACAGAGTAGCAATGTGCTGACAAAGATTCTTGAGAAAGTCAGATGTGTTCACATGTGTGGCTGGTAGGAATCTCAGGCTGCAAATAGATGGGTGGAAGGGACGTATCTTTTTAAATTTCTCTGTAGCTCAATGTTATTAATTTTTAAGACTCTATTCCACCAGGATAGCAGAATCTTAGTTCCAGACCTAGGGAAGCCTTTTCTAACCTGGAGGGGAAGGGAGAAGGGGTCATTTAGAAAGCCTTGCTCCAACTTCCTTCCAAATTGTTTCTTTCTGCCTCAGTCTTTTCTATCTCCCTAGTTTCTAAGCATTTGAAATTGAAAAGCCAGAAAAAAGTCTTTTTAATTTTTTCGCCTTCTGCTTTCTGCTGTCAGATACATGCCCTGGGGAACTGAGCACAAACCAGCCTAGCTCCCTGTATTGCAGGGAGGAGACTGGCAGAAGAGTGGGGATATTGGAAATCAGTGACTACAAAAGGTTGAACCTGTTGCACCTGTGATAGGGCATGAAGACAATGGGATGAGAAAAGCCAAAGAATTTGCCCAAGGTCATAAAAGGCTTTTTACAGGTCAGATGAGTTGATGAATGGCTGTGAAATGGACTGAGACGAGGCCAACAGTGGTGTGCATTTCTGTTGTTTGTTATTACTAACATTTCCACTTTCACAGGAAATGCCACTATACAGGTTTTTAAATGTTATTAAGTCATGGCAATACACTTCCCAGAAGCGTCGTGAGGGCTTTTGTTTCTAGCATCAGTTGAAGGAAAGACTGGTTCCAAAGTGTTATTCACATTCACAGATGCTAAAATTGGGAAGTAACAAATGAGAAGTATTAAAACCTCGAAAGAGTTAGAAACCACACATATTCTCTCATTATTAAGCCTGATATTTTAAAACTTTAGCCAGCCCTGGTGGTCTAGTGGTTAAGATCCTTGCTCTCACGGCCGCAGCTGGGTTCATTTCCTGGTCAGCGAACCTCACCACCCATCTGTCGGTTGTCATACTGTAACGGCTGCCTGCTGCTGTGATGCTGAAAGCTAAGCCACTGGTATTCCAAATACCAGGAGGACACCCATGGTAAACAGGTCTCGGTGGAGGTTCCAAACTAGAAAGACTAGGAAGAAGGACGTGGCCACCCACTTCCAAAAAGATTGGCCATGAAAACCACAGCAGAACATTATTCGATATAGCGCCAGAAGGTGAGAGGATGACTCAAGACGACTGGGCAGGGCTCAGCTGTACACAGGGTCACTAGGAGTCGGAATCAACTCAACGGCACTAACAACAAACTGTAAAATTTAATTCCCCTCTTTTTAGTGGAAAGAGCCCTGGAATAAAAGTCAAAAGATCTGGGATGTATTTCTGCTTGGTCACTAAAGAATTCTATGCCCAGGAGAAAAATGTCTTTGAGTCTCACTTGCCTAATCTATAAAATGGGAGGTTAAACTCTTAATGATATCTTCAGTGCCTTCCAAGTCTAAAAGTCCCCAAACTGTCATTTTCAGATCCTTCAAACAGGCCCTACTGTTAGTTTCCAACTTCATCCCCCACCGTTGTCTAAAGCCAGTGATGTTTTGGCGTAGTCTGTTCTATCCTAATATGATTAATAGGTGTGAAGGTATGGAAGAAGTGAATGGAAAAAAACAGAATCATGAGGACATACAGTCAAGTCTTTCCTTCTTTCCTTCCTTTCTCCCTCCCCTATTTGCACATTGCCAAGTACCAAAAATGTAAAGATGAACAAGAAAGACAAGTCCTCGTTGAGCTGTATTTAAACAAATCTAGATCGTGAACTTCCTCCCGTTCTCTGCCTATTCGAATTCTACCCATCTTTTAGGGTTCAATTCAAACCCCACCTCCTCCAGGAAGTGTCATGACCATAACCCACAAACGTGTCTCACTCATTTGGTAACTGTCTCCAATAAAAATCGTGTGACAGCGTATAATCCTCAGCCAGGACTGCCATGTAAGGTTGCACAGGTTGTTCCCTGCACAAAGGGACCTGGCTAAAAAAGAAAGTGGGAGCAGAAATCCAACCTGCACTCCCTTAAGCTGTGTACCCTTGGTGTGGCATCTGCCCCAAGTAGGCATCTTTTTCTTATTGTCACAAAAATAATTTTGTAAGAACGAAGCTTAAAAATTGTTTTCAAAGTCTACTGTGTATCTCTGGAAGGTAGAGGCAATCTTTCTCTTCTTCGTTCTTGGGCCATCCATGCTGCTCTTGCCCCTAAGACCACCAGGCCAGTGTCTCAAGGCTTCCTCCATTTTAGTCAGCAGTACTGTATACCCCAGAAGAAGCCTGAATCCACTCTCAAGCTGAACAGCTGAAGGAAAACAATGAAAGCAGGTATGATGGTTAATTTTATGTGTTAGCTTGACTGGCCACAGGGTACCCAGATTAAACATTATTTGGAGTGTGTCTGCAAGGGTGTTTCCATATGAGATTAGCATTTGAATATGTGGACTCAGTAAAGTAAGAGATTGCCTTCCCCAGTGTGGGTGGGCATCATCTAATGGGTTGAGGTCCTGAACAAAACAAGAGACGGAGGAAGGAGGAAATTGCTCCTTTTTCCTGCCTCACTGTTTGAGCTGGGACTCCTCCTCTCATCATCTCCTACCCTCGGACTAGGATTTACACCATCAGCTCCCCTGGTTCTCAGGCCTTCTGATGTGGACTGAATTACACCACTGGCTTTCCTGGGACTCCAGCTTGCAGGCAGCAGATCCAGGTGGTGGGACTTCTCAGCCTCCATTATCACGTGAGCCAATTCCTCATAATAAATCAATCTCTCTTTCTCTCTCTCCCTCTCTATAGAAAGAAAGAAAGATAGAGAGAGAGAGAGAGAGAGAGAGAGAGAGAGAGAGAGATTCTGTTTCTCTGGAGAACCCTAATACTCAGACAACAGCCTTGTGCAAATGTGTCAGCTAGTTTCAGTGTCACATCTCTATGAACATAATTCACTAAGTTAGTAGACATCTGATGTCCCAGAAGGTCTACAGTTTCCCAGAATTTGGAACTTTTATTTTGAAATAAATAGCATCCTCACAGGAGGATGCTAAGAAATATATAAGGAAGTCCAGCCCTCTCCCAACTGTCTCCCCATCCTATGTCAACATCCCATACAACTACAGTACAATATCAAAACCAAGAAATTGACATTGACACAATCCATCAAGCTTATTCAGATTTCATCAGTTACACATGACCTCATTTGTGTGTGTGTTGTGTGTGTGTGTGGCTGTGTATGTGCATAGATTTATGCAATTTCGTCATATGTATAGACATGCATAAAAACTAACACAGTCAAGATGCTCAATTGTACCATCATCACAAAGACTTCCCTCATGCTAATCACTCCCTCCCGCTCATCATCCCTATTCCGTGGCAAGTACTAATGTGTGCTCCATCTCTACAATTTTTCTTACTTCCACTATTACAGAAATGGAATTGTGCAGTATGTTGCCTTTTTAAAGTAAAGTCTAGTTTTGGAACAGTTTTAGATTTACGAAAAGTTGTGGAGATAGTACAGGCAGCTCCCGTGAACCCTGCACCAAGCCCAGTTCCCCTGATTATTAATATCTTACATTAGTACGGTACATTTGTCACACTTAACAAAACCGTATTATTCTATTATTATTAACTAAAGAGTCGACTTTATTCAGATGTCCTTAGAGTTTAGCTAATGTCCTTTTTTCTGTTCCAGGATCTCAT